GCGATTCATCGATTTTTAAAATAATCGTTAGTTGCAGCCCTAATATATATAATGAAATACAATAAAATAAGTCATTTTACATGACATTCAGCAGTCTAATGGCAATGGGGAAGAAACTGTTATGGAATCTGCTGGACCCGCATGGAATGCCTCAGAGTCTTCCCAGAGGGCAGCATGGAGAACAGTCCATTTGGGTTGGCTCAGGACACGCAGCGCTGGGATGAAATGTCTTTAATGGAGAGAAGAGGAGTCCCAATGATCTTCTTTGCAGTTCTCACCACTCTTCTCACCTTCTTCCAGTCTGACGCGCTGCAGCCTCCACAAAACACAGTGAGACAGCTGGTCAGAACGCCCTCTATGCTACTTCTGTAGAAGGTGGTGAGGATGGGTGGAGGCAGGTGAGCTCTCCTCATCCTCCGCAAGAAGTACGTGTGCTTTTGTGCCCTTTTGATCAGTGAGGTGGTGTTTACATTCCAGTTGAGGGTGTCTGTGATGTGCATCCCCAGGAATTTGGTGCTTTTGACCACCTCCACAGCTGATCTGTTGATGACCCTTGGAGTGTGGTTAGGCCGGTGTTTCCTGAAGTCTAAGATGATCTCCTTTGTCTTCTCCATGTTCAGGATCAGGCTGTTATTTTTGTACCAGTCCAACAGCTGCTCCACCTCCTCTCTGTAGTTCTGGTCGTTGTCATTACCGATGAGGCTCGCCACTGTGGTGTCGTCTGCAAACTTCACGATGTGATTGGTGGTGAACCTGGGGACGCAGTCCTGTGTCATCAGGGTGAACAGATGTTAAACAAATCAACTACAAAAACATAGAAAGAAAAAACCTAAAAATTAACCCAAGCAGAGGGCAGAACCCTTACAGATCCAACATGCCTCTGCCAGAGTTCTGCTGAAAATAAAAAAAATTTATATATATATATATATATATATATATATATATATATATATATATATATACTGTATATATTTCTCCTATTTGTTCCCCTCATTGAATTAATGTTAAATACAAATAAGAATGTGAAATCCTCCTTCTCATGTGTAAAGCCCTAAATAACTAAGCTCCATTTTATATTAAACCTCTGCTCAATCCTTGGCTGCATTTGAATTTATGGCATGTGTCAGCATAAGGCCAGATTCGAAGGCGGATTATGTCATAGTGTGGCGGACGAGGTCTGGTCGGATTCCAAGACTCCTCGTTTTGCGACCTGTATATGCGTCCTTCTTTTTATTGTATCATTATTCAGTGTATCCTAGCTATCCTTGGTTATCCCAGGATTTATTACCAGACCAAGCAAGCCGTCTGCTTCGTGATCAGAGGAAAAAGATGCTTTGCGCCGAACAGTGGTGAATATTGGAAGTTCAGTTTAATATAATACAAGTATGTGAATAGTTCCCTCTGAAATGAATGAAAATAGTTGTTTTAATGGTTATTAAGTCAGATATGTGGCGGGTAATATTGGATTTATCTAAAGGTTTTTATCTGTTACCATGTAAATGGTTTTGGCTGTAATTTAAGGACAGATTGTAATATATCTGCATTGTAGGGACCCTGATATTTCTATTTTGCACAGTTTGCTTAACTAAGTATTTTTTGTTGTTGAATATAACAGATTTTGCAGATACATTTTTAAATATACATTGTTTAGATTTACTTATATCTTTCTACCCCTTTATAGAATAGAATAGAAAATCCCTTTATTGTCCCAGAATGGGGAAATTCTGGTGTTTAGAGCAGCAGAAAGATTATAGGAAAAATGGTCATACAAATGTGGACCTCAGTTTAATGTATAAGAATAACATAATAGCGAAGAGTTAAAAGATTAACAATACAATACTGTACTGTAAGTGTCTTAACAATACAAAAAACTGTGCACCTGGAGAATAAATGACCAATATACAGCTGTGGACATTTTTACATTGATGGATATTTGAAAAATAGCAGCAACATCAGAGATGTGCAAATTGACAGCAACATGTTATTTAACTGACTAAGGTTTCTATTATTAAATTTGCTTTCATTTGTTCATTCATTTGTCACCTTTATTCCATTCTGTATTCTCATGGGTGTAGTCTTTGTTTACTTTACCATAAAAAAAAGAAAAAAAAAAACTTTCATGTTTGCCATGCGACAGAGCGCATGGCGGTAAAAGCTGCCAAAGGCTAGACCTGTTTGAATTCACATCCATCACTCTTTCTGTCTCCTTATTTTCACAGGCTTCGAAGGATCCAGTACACGTAGACCGCATCCTTGGAAGACGCAGACCATAAATTTGAACACAGCCCATGTTTTCCAAACAGGGCTCTTTGCTCTCAATCTGCAGGTTTACTATATTTCTAAAAGACGAATGGGATGCA